ACGTGCGGTCGAGCGAAGGCGGCTTTATTGAAATGCACACGAGGGAGCAACATGGGGTGGGTTCTCGGGTCGCGTGGACAACACTCTTGCGGAATACTAATACTCCGACATACGCTCCGTGTTATCTCTCCTCTTCTTCGCTCTTTCTTCAGTCTTGCCGTCGGGGGCTGCCTTTATCTCGGCCGAACTTTACTTCAGTGCGTTCCACCTACCTACATCATTTGCGTATTGAGGTAGGTGCATGACTGCGTGCGAGTCATGTCGTGCAAGCGCATCGTATCGTTCGACGATCACGAGACGCTCGTTCAAGAGACACGCATAAAGGGAGTTCCTATGTTTATGGACGAACTGTCCGAGCGAACACGATCACCGCTATTCAAGACGGATGATCCTAATAACGGCGCGGATCCGATTGGCCGGGGCAGATTTCCATTCAATCGAAAATACCGATGTGTATAGGATGCGAATAACGGATTTATATATTTTTTTTAGAAAATATGCATGTTGGTTGTACATATACGAGAGATGCACAAATACGTACGGCATCGTATACAAAGCGATTGGAGTAAAAACATGTTCATGTAAAATTATGTTAATATTATTTGTTGGCATTTACAATTTTTTTTTTTTTAATGGCAAGACTATAAAATTGTAACAGTTTAATCATATGATTCTTTTGTGTGTGTGTAAAAATAAAATGATTTTATTTATACATAGAATTTAATATAAAAAATTCTGTAATGTATACATATAATGAACAAGTTTTCTATTACTAAAACTTATCGCGATGTTTGTTATTCAAAATATTAAAAAATACAGTATTAAAATTAAATAATATCACAAAAATTAAAAAAAAAAAAAAAGATTTGATTCCCCGCTGGAAGAAATTAATCTCTGACTCGAATTTGTAAAAAAGAAACTAATTTTAGTTTATAATATTATCATCTACACTATATGATCTTGTGCCTACAGCATTAAAAATCTTCGAGTATATTATAATAATATCAATCATATATTAGTCATCTCGAAATGTCAAGAAGATATGATAGATAGACTCAATAACAAGACATGTGAACGAACGTAAGACCCCAGGATTATATTGGGAAGATGTAGGATGATATTGCTGATAGTCCTTTCTGTTAGTTACAACAACCGACGGGAAGAAATCGATGTGATTTCGTTGAGGATAATCCCCGTGACTCTTTCGTTGTACGCCTCATTGCTGCAATAAAGTTTTATCTATCATAATGCACAAACGAACCATCGTAAAAGAGATTTTTTTGCATTATCTCCCATTTATATAACTACGTTATTCTGAATATCCAAGATCGCATATCTTATAAAAACTGTCAAAAAGATGTTTCAGGAACTTTGACGAATTAAAAAAGTTGGCTCTTTTTCTCAACTCGGTAAAATTCTGATTCTCGATTAATTCTAGAGAGATTGCGTTTGTCTACTTCATTTCCAGGCATGTCAAACAAGTAGTATTTAATGAGTTATGACAAATTATAGTCTTTCTCGACAGCTGCGATATAATTACTACGAGCCCATTACGTCGTTGAAGATAAAACGACGTCAAAGATCAGTCTTGAAATCATCGGCATCGTCGAAATTACGCAATATTTAAGATGCGACGGCGCGATATCGATCGGGACACAAACCTTAATTTTCAAGATATATCGCCGACTAAACACGGACATGTTCTCCGTGGCGGTAGCCGCACCCGATACACCAGCAATTACTCATCCCGGAGGTTTTAATGAAATCGGCTATGATTTAGCGTTATAGAAAAGTGGTATGCGCGCGATACGAGCAAAAAGATGGACGGGAAGAAGGACGTGACGTACGGGGACGAAATCAAAGCACACGCGAAAACCGGATGCGCAGGTGAAGTTCTCTCTTCTGTAATAGGGGTACTCGCAATTTACATATGTATCTACCAGCCTAGCACATACGCGAAGTATCCTTAGAACTCCCTCTTTCTCTCTCTCTTTTCTTTTCTTTCTCTCTCTCTCTCTTTCGTCTTATAATCTTTCGCTCGTTCCCTTTTAACCTTTTTCTCGTGTTACCTGTATAAGAGATATACCAGTCACGTACACAAGCGGCACGCAATGCAATGTGATACGTGCTCGCATTATTCCAAAAATCGATCGCCAATGTACGAGCTTCTATCTCGATTCGGAGCTTTTTCGCGTCGCGTCGTACGCGGGATCCCGCTTTTTCTCGGGGGCAACGAGGAACGCAAAGCCCATCGGCGAAAGTTTCTTCTTGCGCGTCCTCAAAGACTCCCGCGAGATAAAATTATAGGGTCTCGTGCATTATTATGTCGGATTCGCTTGAAATACCTTAATAAGGGATCGATCTTATGTCGAGTATTTTGCCCGATTATTTGTGGCATTGCATACGCGTCGGTTATCAATTACGCTGTGTAACATAAGTTATTATTATTAAAGCTGCATTTACCAAGCACTTGGGATTAAATCCCTCAAGCAAGAATACGGTAGAAAGAAAAACAAAATAGCAAGATTTATATTGAATCTCAGGAATAAACGCAGATAAATATACGTGAACGTGACATTATTACAAGATATAAAATTATGGCAAATGAGAGAAAGTCCTTGTAATTTTGGTGACTTTATATTTAATGACAATATCTTAATATTTATTTGATAAGAAATATAAGAGATACATTTTTTCATGTTTGCATTATCAAAAATTAAATTTCTTGAAATTACAACGGTATTTCAATCTCTAGATATTACTTTAGGAGAGTAAAATTTATTTAAGTCCGTGACTCGAACATATGTTATTGTAATTAATTCCCCACATATAAGCTCGTAGAAATTTACTATTAATGCCAAACCATAAAATTTGATCGAGTGACGGTGAGAAATATTCTCGAAGAATAGTTTCACGCCGTTCACATGATCAACGAATACTATTAATGTAGCGGAGAGAAAATTCTCAAGTGAAACGCAGGATGATAGCAGACAGAATGAAGATTGCACAGACAAGAGGAATAGCATCGCGTTCGCGGCGCGGTATTTCATCGCCGTGAAATCTATGTTTGCATTTCGTTCGGAATGAAGTTTTCGCCCGGATGATCGCGCATAAATTCATTGTCTGGACGAGTAGGTATTATGCAGAATCGCAGCTACGGAATCGACTACCACACTCGCGCGCTCGAGATTTCTTTGCACAAAAACTTAGGTATATATATGTATGCATGTCCGCGATACGCGCGTTCAATGATCGGATCTCCGGCCCGTTCGTGCCTGTGCAAACAGCCGTCGAGGAAAATATTTGCACAGGATAACTCGGGTCCTCATTATCGGGGTGGCTGGTCCTTCTCTCTCAGGGGCGACGGTTGTCCAGGTGCGCGAGGAAGATCGTAGAAGGAGTAAAAGACGTAGGTAGCGCGAGGGAGAAGGAAAGAGAGAAAGAGAGAGAGAGAGAGAGATGGAGGAAGGAAGGGTAGAAGGAGGGAGATTGATTCGACATGCATAAATTAGAGAGGATGAGCCTTTATTCCGTAGTGCGACTCACGGGATCGGGATCGGGATTGGAATTGGGATGCACGAGAGAGAGGAGTATAAATTGATGACTGCAGGCAACAGGCAGGGGTTTATAATAATTAATCTTCATGCGTGTATACGTATTTACGACGTAACCCTCCCTCCTCGTTCTTCGTCGCCCGTCTCATCGTCATCTGCTTCGACTCGCGGTGGCAATGCGCGAGATTTCTTTCCCGATTCGCGATTAAGTTTATCCCCGTCGCATAGAGGAACAGGTGATACGCGTACTGCGGGAAAAGTCTAAGCGTTAAAAGATGCAGATTTCAAAATAAAAACTGTCATGAATAAAATTATCTAGTTTGATTTGAAAAATGCAAGATCAATAAATATAAAATTACACAATAAATATTAGAAATGTATAACATTTCCATTATATTTATAGTATAATTTTACGCTTACTGTTTATGTAATTTTACATATTTTTTTTACAGTACATATATAATAAAATAGAATATAAAATAAATATGAAATTTCCTTACTTATGCGAATCAACTATCTTTGATTACTCACCATTAAAAACGCGATAAAAAGTAGTTAAATTTTACAAAATGATGCAAACTTTATTTACGAAAATATTCTCAGAAACGCGTTGCATCGCATCATCGGATATCTCTTTTTTGCAAAGTCGTTCCCGTCTCGCGCGCATTCCCATAAATCTCATCGTTTCGGGCACGCAGCCGGAAGGTATTACTTCGGAAAGTAACGACCGGTGACAAATATCCAGGTGGCTAAGTACGGAGTCGAAAGCTCGTATGTACTCTCTCTCTCTCTCTCTCTCTCGAGTTCGCATAGCGCGATTAGGTATCACGATGTAGGCAATAAATTACCAGCACAACCATGCGTCGCACACGACGCGCTTCCACCGCTGGTGGTCATTGCTAAATTGAGGAATCATCAGCGAGGCTTATGCATCGCGATTATCGCTAATTGATAAATTCGATGGGTTCGTTGTAATTTATTACATTCTACCGAGCTCGGTTATTTCTAACTGTTATTCTGGCGGCGCATTCATTATCGCAGTCTTTACCTCGGGAAAAAGTATTTTTTTCTTTTTAGTTTTTTCGCGTTGTGTCACTTATGGTCGTCGCCAGCAACAGGAATTGGCTCCTCGATGAGTATTGTCGATCGCAGAGAGCAATATGCTTTGCTTTCCCGATGGATCTACAAAACATTGCCATCAGACGACACTGAAATCGAGATTTTTAAAACAATATTTTTACGAAAAAGGAATTTATAATTATATTCTCCTACGTTCAAATGTCAGCTAATTATATTTTACATGCAATAGCATTATTTATCGATATACTTGTGAATGAGATAATATATATATTTACTTAAATATTATCTCAATCAAGAATATCCGCAAAATTGTCCGAAACCGAACATTTATGCTTTCGACAATTAAACAGACTCGTTCGATTACAGACGACGCAGTCGCAGCGAGGAGGATACAAACGGTACCGTCGTCAGCGACGACGCACAGCAGCAGCAGGACTACGTATCCGGACAGCGTGAACCGGAAGAAGAAGAGGAACTGGGAGCGGAGGAGGCAGCGGCACAGTCCCTGCAGAGCGGTGCCGAAGACGCCGATCCGGAAGTCCACAAAAGAGTCGCGGTGCAGGTGCAGGTACAGGGTATGGAGGGCGACTGGCGCGCCTACTGCGAGCATCCGCTCTCAGTGGCGACCGCTGCTATGCTAAATCTCCAGCAGCAGCATCAGGTGTCGGCGGTAACCAGCCATGGCGACGATCCTGGCGCGTCCTACGTCTACGAGTATTACAAACTGCCCGAGAAAACGGCCGCGGATGTCAAGTTGCCGCCCACGCACGAGCTCTGGTCCACGTGAGTATTGACTTTATATATTTTACGAAATTTAGTATGATCCGTGACCGATCCGTAAGCCGGAAAGAGTTCCGAGAGACAATCTTGGATCTCAATAATATTGGAATGTTGTGTCTTCGTTTCTCTCGTTATATATAGTTTAGATTATTATTACTTTTAAGTCTCTCTTTTTTAATTTTTCGTGAAGATGGGAAAATCTTTTTTATTTCTCATCAAACGCGTTTAAGCAAAGCTTGAAAATGCGAATTAATCTTGGATAAAAATGAGCTGAAGACAACGGCTGTTATTATGCACGCTTTACGCAATACAGTCTTCATCGCTTCGGAACTTCGCGTATGCTTCGCTTTATCTCGCTATTTTAGATTCTCATCCGCGCGTGTAAGCTTCGTAATCATACGCGAGGCAAGGGAAAGAATCGCGATTTTCTACGGCTCTATCCACGGAATATAATCATGCTCTTACAAATGCAGGAAGATTTCGCTCGCCTCTCTCGCGCATTTAAATAATTCAAGAATATTCACGTTCACGAGATTCGCATCGAGATTGACTGAACAAATTGACTTTTCCGGACAAAATTAATTCGCTGAAATATAGCTTGAAGATTTAAAAAACGATATTTATTTTTTAAACATACAGATACTTCAAATCATTGGTAGCAGAGAATAATTGCAACGCTCGTAGTATATAATTTAAGTTTAAAAAGAATTTAATCTTTTGCAATAAAACATAACTACAAAATAGTAAATTCCTAAAATGATTCTGCATTATCGCAGAATTATTCGTCAATTTGTCAAATTTTTTCAAGCATTGTGATTACCTCTCTGCATTCCAGCTTTGTGCTTATAACTTTCTTATATTATGACTAGAAAATTATTACACAACTATATACATATAAAAAATAATTTATATAAAGAAGAAATAAATGAAGAGAATTTTATATTATTATATTCGCGGAGCCTTTGAAAATTGGTAGCCTTGGCAAGATTCTTGTAAAAGTATCTCTCGCAGCGTTCTCGCATGTAACGCACGTAATTTTATGCACTCGCGCGCGGCTCTTCTTCACTCGATGCACTTAATTTAGAAGCGCGCGTGCACGTGGCCGCTCGTACGTGGCTCATCCATAAACACGTGCGTGTGCGTGACGACTAGCCTGTACCGCGGGTGCATCCAGAGGACTCGATTAGCGTAGATCCGCAGATAGAGCCCCGTGTCCCGATGTAGCGAACACTCTCGGCGCGGGGCTCGTCGGGCGCGCGTTATTAGCTATTCGTGTTTCGCCGTATCTCGATTAATAGTCTCGACCGCGTAATTGAGTGCTCGCGGTGAGCGTAATTCGTTACCGGGGGCTGATTACGCGGGACAATCGCGTGTAAAATCAGTCGGCACGAAGAGACGTTTGACGCGTTAATTAGATAATTCGTATTCTACCAAGCGCGGATGTATATTTTCGTTATCTTAATAGCGAAACAAATGTAGAAAGGAATATGCATCATTTCAACACTGATGCAATAGGCGTATGTTATTTTCGTTTAACACATAATGTGGAATAAATAAAATCCACGCTGAATAAAGCGAAAAGAGTAAATTAGATATTTTTTTTAACGTGATGTATGCCAAAGCAAATTATTAAATCGTTAATTCCACAAGAAGACGAGGCACAAAGTGAGACGGCCTTTTTCATGCACAGCCCATTTACGTAGATTATACTTATAGTTCGAAGGAACAGTAATCACAATTCTTTAGGAGTTTATCGATATTCCATAAATCTTTTGCGCTTAAATGAGTGCGCAGCGTGCCATCGATAAATGGAGCTTTTCGTTTTCTCTCTCTCTCTCTCTCTCTCTCCCTGCTCGCGATTCTATATCGCTCTCTTTTGCATTACGCCGAAGCAATTTAGCGGAGTTTAGTTGGGTAGATATATTGCTCTCCAGTCGGGCCTATTTATATCTCGCGTTCGAGTCTTCCGGTCCATTTGCTCGGTTTGCAAACTGAACCCACCGCGCCAGCATTCTACGCACTGCACGAGAAGGAGAGAAAGAATTTCTCCCTCGTTCCCGATTCGTGATGGGGGTCTCTCTCTCCTTATATTTTGGGCCTGGTTGGCCATGGAGAACGCGGAGGAATCCCTTACCCCTTGCGCCGTAGAATCCAGGAGACGGAGACAACGGGTAAAGGACTCTCTCACCCCTCGGGGATCTACGGACGCGCGCGGGCCCCACTTTTGATTTATATCGGCCGCTTAGCATATTTTGTAATTTACTGTTGAGAATCCTCAACGTACGAATCGTGTCAGATACGAGGGCAGCCGAGAGGAGAGGTAGTGCAGCGAAATGCGGCGGCAGCAACTGCAGCGCGGCATCAGGAACATCACCAACAACAGTTTCTGTTACCGACCTCGCCATGGGGAGATGCCGCCCTAATCTTCCCTCGCATCTTCTCCTCTCTCCCTGCCTGCCCCTCTCTGCGCTCTCTGCCCTTCCTCCTTCTCCCTTTCTCTGCTTCTCTCTTTCTCTTTCTCTCTCTCTCTCTCTATCTACATCTCCTACTCCCGTTCTCTCTTCCCGCTGAGAGATGATAGCATCTCGACAATTTGTACGGCGGTAGATCGTTAAAACTCCTCTCTCGCTCTCGGCTGTCGCGTCGCTGCGAGGAGAGAGAATGAGAAGACTACCAAGGGCACAACTTTAATCCAATTTCATTGTGTCGCGCTCGCTGAAGGGATCAAGCGCTTCTCTGGTCGCGGTCGCGAAAATAGGAAGAAAAAACAAGCACGAGCACGATTCGGAGGAAATGTATCTCGACGTGGGGACAATACAGAAAGAATCCGCGTGCAAACGTTTGCATGTTTTCGCAGCTACATAGATACGATCATGATAATATGCGTCGATGTGTTTTCCATTGCCGTTGAAACGCGCGTCAGAAAGGACGCGTTGCAGTTTTCTCACGACTTTCCTAATCGGGATTTAAGACGGGTTTGTTGTCACATAGTGAAAGCTTAGCGAGCGATGGGGGTTTCGTTTTATCGCTTTTCTCGAAACTCATTTTAAGTTAGATAGGCTTATTTACCGCAAATCAAAATTTTGTAATTATATAGTCTTATATGATGAGCTTTAAAACAAGTTAGATGAGTTTCTACAAACCGAAACTTTAGCCAAATGCACGCCTAATTAAATTAGAGAGATTAGAGATTATTTTATATACGATCAATTGAAAGAATAAGGAAACTAAAACTTAACGAGTTTTCATAAACTCGCCCAAGACTTTTAATTCTTTATAATATTAATCCTAGAATTTTATCATATTTGTATTCTTTCAACACGAATAACAATATAAGATCTCCTACGTTTATATGTACTAAATAATAAGGTTATTATTTTCAACATGAGGCCCAGAAAAATATACGGAATTCGCTGCGTTCACGCCGAGAGACAGTCATATTGTAATTCGAATAATAAACCTGCTGTGAAGTCAAGCGACGGGAATATTCTGTTCAATTAACCATATTGTTGTAAACGCATAAAGGCAGGGCCGCATTTGCCATGAGACAATCCTCGTTGTAAAAGGAAATTATCATTTCTTTAGTAACACCTTCATTTTTGGATATATTTTCAGTGCGCAATCTGTATCGTCAGATCGATGCCCAAACGCAGGAATGTTAAAACTTGTTTCTTTAAAAGAATGTGTCCCTTATCGCGATCTTCGTGATAGACTCAACCCTTGAGATCTCGTTGAGTGTGCGGAGCCGAGTCTGCGTAGGAGGCGGATAACTCGCCGCGACTCTTACGGTGTCCGGCGGTCGCTTATGGTTCGCCACGGGGTTGTAGAATGATGGCGCAAAGCCATCGAGAATCGGCGTACAGTTTCACAGCAAGCCGCCGCCGTAAAAGACGGCCTCCTGGGCACTATGCGAGATCGCCGCCTTAATCTTAACGCCCGTCGGGCATAAGCGACAACCGCGATATCCGCCTTCCAAACGCGGAGAACAGCCGCGATGAAAAGCCGCGGGATAAAGCGGGAAATAAGGGGGTACCCGTCGCGCATAGCGTTCGTCCGGCAACATTGATTCAATTAGCGGATGAAGACGCTTCTCGGAGGTAGACGATGATGGCAATTGAAACGCGAAAAAGTTACTTGATGGAGTAACGTAGACGCGCCGCTGGCGGAAAGCGTAAACACACTTACGCTCTCTAGTATCTGTCTCTCTCTCTCTCTCTCTCTCTCTCTTTGTCGGATTTTAATTTATTTAACATATAAAAGGGCGAACTTTCTCAAGCGCACTTTACATACAAGAGTTAGTTTTATTTAAATATCAGCAAGTAAAAAATAACATTTACATAAGTTACATAAACACTTACATAAGTTTCTCAATAAGTTTTAATATAAATCGAATGTTCTGATATATTTATCACTTTTATTTATTTTTTTTTTAACGATAGATACTATTCTCTTGTCATATTCAGGTATTATATATTTAACTTTTAATATTGCGTGAAAAAAATGATATGTGTCATGCCTATTTTAACAGTCGCAATGATTGACGCTGTCATCGAGAATTATTACGATTATATATGGTAATAATTGAGAAAAAGCAATATATGTATAATATTGTAAATCGCAAATATTCCCTATAGATTGTTTCTATATTTATCGAACATATTGCCGCGATGACGATAATACGCAATACAGAACAATCATCGCAATTGCGTGCGTTGTAAGTCGGCAGGAAGTATTCTTCCAAATTATAGTAATTGTCACTTATAACAGTCAGGTACACGAGAATCTTTTTCGTTCGATCGCGATCGATTGCTTCATCGCTGGTCATGCGATGTTCTGAGAAACCGCATTTATGCAATGAATGCAAATTATGATTCTCAAATCTGAAATGTTAATTGTGACAACTGTGCGTTACACATTCTAATCATGAAAGCATTTTTTACGCTACTGATCGAGAATTTTTTATAAATTTTGTCATTGATTTGCAATCAAATATGTACCGCGTTTATCGAGGCGAGCAGTAATATTATTATATTCGATGGCGTTTTTTTTTGCGATTCGGTTGAATAACTCGTAAAATGTTTTTGTCGATTCTTTCTTCCCGACACGCGATAGTATATCATTACATCAGAAATTTTATAGTGGCACAGATATATAACGTATCGGAGAAATGGAATGGAGCCGATCTTTATACTCACCGCAACGATGTAGTTTCCATCTCACCGCGTACGACGCACGTTTCCGCAGACGGCGGTGATTACACGCCGGGTTCGAAAGTGAAATTTCCCCCCTGGAGAGATAACAAATTTCTAATTAATTCATATTAAATTCACATGGCCTTGGGACGCATATGGATAACGTCAATATGATTAATGCTTCCCTCGCGGCGAGCAACGCATACTTAAATGTTTTAGCATCCGAGAGTAAGAGCGGCTTCTTAATTGCCGAGATAAACACAGGTTGTGATTATTTAGAGGTGCCGAAGCGGGATCGTACGTTATAAAATCGAGAATAAAATATCGCGAACGTTTGCGAAATGAATTTTCGTTCAATCTGAAATATCTCGAGGAAAGTGAGAGACACGGGGTCGAGTAAATATGGTGTTAGCCACGCTTCTACATCTCTCGTATACGCCGTATTGCACATAATACGAGCGACGGTCGTAATAGCCGGATCCGGAATCTTTCTTTAACGACCGTCTTTTCGTACGTGCGACGAAGCGACGTGGAACGTAATGAAGTCTTGCTCAGAGGTCGGTCTTTAAGGGACTCAAGAACGAACTCGGCAATGAACGCCGGTACGCTGCAACTTCTTATTACATTTCCTGACTATCGTCACGCCAAGATCTACTTAGGAACGAGACGGCAACGGCCTTTACGCTCTTGCCACGAGGGTGCATACTCGGCCGACTGACTTGTCACGGGATTAGACAGGTAGCCGACGTGAACACGTATCGCGGAGAAGATTGTTCTTTGTCGTCTATCCGCGGTTGTCTTATTGTTACTTTCAAACACATGTTAGAGAATCGAGTAACTTAATTAAATTCCATTTAAAAACAAGTTGAAAATGTTAATCATTCATAAGAAGGAAAATATATTTCTTTTAAGAAAAAAAAAAAATATATATATATATGACGAGAAAGAATATATTGTGACATCGTAACAAAAGAATCAAAAAATTCTCTGAATGATTGTCTTATGTGAAACAATCTGAGCAAATCCGAGTAAAGAACCGGCGAAATTCCGAATTCATAATTGCGGCGATTAGAAACTTCTAATTGTGTGCTCTCTGTCGCTGGAAATTCAATTCGTTCTCTGTCGCACCCTTATAACGCCTCCCTTGGTCTCTTAAACATAATGGAATCGAGATCGAGGACCTTTACGATGGTCGACGATCGGCCAAACGACGAATACGAGTTGTCGCTACCTTTTATTATACACGTTTCATTTCTCCCGGTTATCGTTACGCGGCAATCTGCTTTAAGAGTCACCACTACGACGAATCGCGGCCACTACCGCGATGATCTCTGACCCGACTGACAAGCCGGGGAACGAGGGGGGGCCTCGTGTGTCACGTCGTAAAACGGCAAAACGTGGACCGGACAGCAGGCCGGAACCAGAACCAGAAACGTGGGACGACGAGTGCCATGGCCCGTTTTCTCGCCACCGCTGCTTTATGCCCGACACGTAACGTCGCGCGAACGCGTTCTCGTTTATTTGAATTTACGATTATAGAGGAACATAATTGCGCGGGGGGCACACGATACGCGTACGGCAACGCCCTCGTTTCGCGCTCTTGTCGCGTGGGATTCCACATCTCCGCGTTCTCCGGTAGCGCCGGATCTTTCCGCGATTGCGGAAATCACACGCGGAGCGAGTCGCGTGCTAAGGGCCATGTTACGAGGAGATGAGCCATAAAAATAAAACATAAGTATCATATACACAGAGCGTACTAAAATCATTGGACGTGTCCAACCATAGATACAAATTAAGAAACCCTTCTAAAGTATCGAGATAAAATGTAGACGAATGAAATATGAAACATTCATAATAAAGCATTCTAATATAATAGTATAAATAATCTAAATAATTAAATATTTGTATTTATCTTGATACGGAAATTTCAAGCTTAACCGTTATAATCCTCAATGTTAAAAATTGAAAACTTTTACCACGGTAAAGTAGACTTTAGATTTTTCATAGATTTTTATAGATTTTCATAGAATTGGCGGAAGTTATTTATTGCTAATTATACATT